TGACCTTGATGAGAATGGAAACCGGAAGGTTCAAGCTTGCTACTCGAGCGGTGATCGTTTTGATGAAGATTGGAGAAAACCCAAGAAAAAATGGTTACCTTATGATGAGTATAAAAAGGCCAAGGAGGAAAAATACGAACAAAAAGGAAGAGACTTTTAACAAAAAGAGGAACCACAGGCTGAAAAGAAATCTGACTTCGAATCAATGCTCACATGATTTGCAGCCGTTTCTGAAAAGAGGCATGAGGGAACTGAAGCAGCAATTAAGGAACAACAAATAATGATGAAAGAGAAACAAGCTATGATGAAGGAACAACAAGAGATGATTAAAAACCAGAAAGCATTATTTAGAAATCAACAAGCTTCGATACTCAATATAGAAAAGCAACTTGGGCAACTAGCTATGCAATTCAATGAAAGATCACCGGGAGGACTTCCGGGAAATACTGAACAAAACCCGATAGGAGCTCACATCCAAGCCATCACCACTAGGAGTGGACAAATTATTACTCATTTGACTCCCATAGACAGTAACAAGCCGGAGGTGGAGCAAGAAATTCGGGAAGAGAGTCAAGGAAACAGTTCTTGACAATCACCACGACGTGGTCTAGATGCCACGGCGTGGAAGGAAGCTGAAAAGAAAAATTCGGAACCCGTAAAGCCATACCGCCCACCATTGCCATTCCCAAGTAGAGCAATTCAAGAGAAGCATGCTGAAGATTATCGGAGGTTCTTAGATCACATAAAGTCTCTTGAAATCAACATTCCCTTTCTTGAGACTTTAGCTGAAATGCCAAAGTATGCCAAGTTTCTCAAGGACCTATTGACAAACCGCAAGAAAATAGAAGGATTGTCAAAAGTAGTACTGAATGAAACTTGCTCTGCTGCAATGCTAAACATGCTACCAAAGAAAATGGGGGATCCAGGAAGCATAACTTTACCATGCCGAAGAAGATGTGCTAGATGAATTACTTGAAAAAGAGCTAGAGGGGTGGAAAGAAAAAGAGACCGAGGGATTTATGGTGCTTAAGGAAGACAATTTTGATCCCGAACTGGATATACAAGAGTTGGAGAAGCTATTAGAAGAAAGTGATTATGACGAAGCCATAAAAGAGGCAGAAGAGGCAACACAACGTGGTGAGGAGAACACGTCGTGGCAAAGTTTTTTTTTCACGAACAGGAATTAAAAGTTGCGACACCACGACGTGGCAGGATGCCCACGTCGTGGTAACTGACGAAAGGCAGAAAATCAAGCTGAAAGCCCTCCTCGAACACCTGGAGTATGCATTCTTGGAAGAAGGACAACAAAAACCAGTAATCATAGCTTCCGATATTGCAACACATGATAAAGAAAGCCTCGTAAAGGTACTAAAGAAAAGACAAGGTGCTATAGCATGGAAGATCACTGACATCAAGGGGATTAGTCCAGCCTACTGTTCTCATAAGATCAACTTAGAAGAAGGAGTTAAACCCATAGTACAATGCCAAATAAGACTCAACCCAAATATGCAAGAAGTAGTTAAAAAGGAGGTTGTTAAACTATTAGATGTTGGTATCATTTATTCAATCTTCGATAGCCCATGGGTGAGTCCGGTACACGTTGTACCTAAGAAAGGAGGAATGAAGGTAGTCACCAATGAAGACAATGAGTTAATCCCAACAAGAACAGTAACCGAGTGGCGCGTTTGTATCGACTATCGAAAAGTTAATGATGCTACATGCAAGGATCATTTTCCACTACCATTTATCGATCAAATGCTCGAAAGGCTATCCGGTCATCTCTACTATTTTTTCCTTGATGGTTTCTCGGGGTACTTTCAAATTCCAATTGACCCAAAAGACCAAGAGAATACCACTTTTACATGCCCAAGTGGAACATTCACATATAGACGCATGCCTTTTGGGTTATGCAATGCATCAGCTACTTTCCAAAGGTGCATGATGGCTATCTTTCACGACATGATCGAGAAATTTATGGAGGTCTTTATGGATGATTTCTCGGTTTTGGGGTCATCTTTTGAAGATTGTTTGTCCAATTTGGATTTAATGCTAGCTAGATGTGAGAAGACCAACCTTGTCCTTAATTGGGATAAGTGCCACTTCATGGTAAAAGAAGGAATTGTGTTGGGACACAAAGTCTCAAGGTTGGGGATAGAGGTGGATAGAGCAAAGGTTGACACTATAGCTAAATTACCACCTCTAACAAATGTAAAAGGGGTGAGGAGTTTTCTAGGCCATGCGAGATTTTACCACCGTTTCATTAAAGACTTTTCGAAGATCACAAGGCCATTGACTCAACTTCTCTTGAAGGATGCCCCATTTGACTTTTCTAAGGAATGTCATGAAGCGTTTCAAATATTGAAGGAAAAGTTAACTAGTACCCCTATTATGATAGCCCCAAATTGGAGCCTTCCTTTTGAGCTAATGTGTGATGCTAGTGACTATGCGGTGGGAGTTGTTTTAGGTCAAAGGGTTGATAAACATTTTCAACCTATCTATTATGCAAGCAAAACTTTGAACCCAACTCAAGAAAACTGCACTACTACTGAGAAGGAGCTACTAGCGGTGGTGTATGCTTTTGATAAATTCCGTTCATATTTGGTTTTGTCAAAGACAATAGTTTTTACCGACCATTCTCCCCTTAAGTATCTATTTGCTAAACAATATGCTAAACCAAGATTGATACGTTGGGTCTTGCTTCTACAAGAATTTGATATTGAAATAAGGGACAAAAAGGGAATGGAGAACGTGGCTCCCGATCATTTATCAAGATTAGAGAACCCGCATTTAGAGGAATTGGAAGAAAACAAGATAGGCGATGATTTCCCCGAAGAATATCTTATGGTTATAGCAGGAGAGGTACCATGATTTGCAAATATAGCAAACTACCTAGCAAGTGAAAACATTCCAAAAGATTTGACCCGACAACAAAAGAAGAAATTCTTTTCAGAAATCAAGTACTACTTTTGGGATGAGCCATACGTTTTTAGAAGCTGTGCAGACAGAATGATAAGAAGATACGTGTTCGGGAAAGAGAGTCGAGAAATCTTTAAACATGTCATAGCGGGCCCACCGGAGGACATCACGGAGCACAATATACGACTAAAAATATTTTTGATATCGATTTTTATTGGCCTACAATTTTTAAAGATGCTACTCAATTTGTTAAGGAGTGCGATTCATGCCAACGGACGGGAAACATTTAATCACGAAACGAGATGCCCCAAAATAGCATTCAAGTTTGTGAGATATTTGATATTTGGGGGATTGACTTTATGGGACCTTTTCCAATGTCAAAAGGAAATAAATATATATTGGTGGTTGTCGATTATGTATCTAAGTGGGCTGAAGCACAAGTGTTACCTACTAATGATGCTCGAGTGGTCGTTCGTTTCCTTAAAAAGTTATTTTCCAGGTTTGGAGTTCCTAAGGCTCTTATTAGTGATCGGGGCACCCACTTCGCAAATGATCAATTGGCTAAGGTGTTGCAAAAATATGGTGTCCACCATAGATTCTCAACATTCTATCATCCCCAAACGAGTGGGCAAACTGAAGTTACAAACCGAGCATTAAAAAGGATATTAGAGAGATCGGTTGGAAGTAATAGAAAGGAGTGGTCGGATAAGCTTGATGATGCACTTTGGGCATTTCGAACAGCGTTTAAAACACCTATTGGCACTACACCATATAGGTTGGTTTATGGAAAGAATTGCCACTTGCCAGTTGAGATAGAGCATAAAGCATTTTGGGCTTTGAAGATATGTAATTTTGAGTTAGTTGAACTTCGCACCAACCGATTAATGCAAAGCAATGCACTTGAAGAACTTAGAAACGAAGCATACACTAGTTCCTTGATATGTAAAGACAAGACTAAGAAATGGCATGACATGAGACTAAAGGGTAATAAGGATTTTCATGAGGGACAAAAATGTGCTACTCTTCAACTCAAGGTTAAAGCTTTTTCCGGGTAAATTGCAAACTAGATGGGACGGGCCATTTGTTGTTAAACAAGTTTTCCCACATGGAGATATTGAGCTTATATCAAGAGATGTGATCCCTTTCAAAGTTAATGGAAATAGAGTGAAGCATTATGAAGAAGGAATGCCAATTGAAGAAAGAGAGGGGGAAATCGTCAAATTCACACGAGCTGAAACAACGTGAAGCGGGAAGGAGTCCGGCTTATGACTCCCCAAAAAGAAGCGCTTGTAGGAGGCAACCTGTGATTTTGAGTTTGCATTTTCTTTCCTTTTCTTTTATTTCATTTTATTAGTTTTATTTAGGTTTTATTCTCCCATTCTTCTGATTTGTCTATGAATTCGACGTGGGTATGGCATAATACGAGAGTGGGGTGGATATTTTTATGAGTTTAATAAATAAGAATGATTTTTAACCCACCACGAGGTGGTGATTTGACTTAACACGTAAAATCGGGAATACATGATTCACCACGGCGTGGTGAATCTACCACGTCGTGGCGCCAAAATAGCTGCAGTCAAATTAGGGTTTTTTTCAACTTCAGTCAAAATCATTTCACTTTTACACCACTCTTTCTCTCTCATCGTGACTGCCGCCCCACGAAGAACTCCATCTTTCTACCTTTGATTTCTTGCATTTCTTCACTAAAAGGTATGATTTTCTAGTGATTTCTTTACTCTTAATCGTTTATTATGTTAGTAAAGGGTATATGTTTACTGATTAGAACACATTTAGGGCCGATTTTAGGAACCTAGGGTTCCGATTTTTGCAAAAATCAGACCAAATTTTGGTTGTTTTACGCCTTGATTTTGTTACCATTCCACTCCATATTATGCTTAGAACAAACCCTGAACTTGTATTGAGTTGAAATGGTGTGGAATATGGTCCGGTTTCACCAGGTCTGACGACAACACGTCGACCACGACGACTCGTTGTGGTGTTGTTTTTCAAGGCTTTTTCTGTTCTGTTTTGATTATAATGACGCACATGGTTTCTTGTGTGTTCTTTATGGTTGTTTTGTAGACATGGCCAGCAGATCTAGATGCAACCAACCCGGAAGTCGTCTCGACTTTCCGTGGTACACTTTTCCACGAAATGTTGGGCCCGAGGTTTATACTAGATGGAATGCAAAGCTGGATTGGGTAAAGAACCGAAACGTTCATGTGCCCGCAGTGGTAGATTGTCAGTGGATGAGTGAAACCGGATTGATGGAAGCAATTGAACCATATATTGATAAATCATTTAATGGAGTTCATGGGCAATTTCTTTGTCTAGGGTGGAGGCAGATATTCCAAATTCAAGAGATTGTGTACAAGGAACTACTCATCGAATTTCTAGCCATGGTGTCTTTTGCAAGGAAGGATGGCATTTATGCTGACAGCAACCTCACTTTTTGCCTCGGCGGCGAGAGGCGCACTCTTAGCCTTGCGGATTTTGCACTAAGGGCGGAGATTTACCTTCCGTCCGAAGTTCATTCTGAGTCTTATCAGCAATATATTGCAGGTTGTGTCAGAAATACAGAGGGGTTTAAAGAAGAATTGCATTGGAATGCAATTGCAAATGGAGTTTATGAAAAAGGAACTGCACAAGAGAGTGACATCCGCTCTCCTGTCCATTGATTGCTCCACCACAACGTGTTGATTTTCGAGTCCGTTTTCCGAGTCTGCTCTAGCACTTTCAGTATTCTACATGATCAAGAGTAGTGTTTCCTATATTATATTCATTCTCATGGTATGGATGAGTTGTTCCCACACCATAGAATTTCACACCATAATGAAGAATTATCCCGGCTGCTACGACATGGTTGACATTTTCCTATGTTGTGGGGGAATTTTTCAAAGCATAAGGAGGCTGCTATTCTAGTTTCTACTTCCGTTTCCACACGTTCAAGCAAGCTAGAAGTCCTTCCCACGTTTCGAGATGCATCTTCTATCCCAGGGGAGTCTGTTCCTTTTTCTCCCTTTCTTTTTAATTTTATGTTTTGCATACCATGCAATGAGGGCATTGCATGAAATGAGTGTGGGGTAGGGGGTATATTGCATAAGAAAAAGCATTTGATTTTTAAATTAGGAAACTTAGCTATTTAAAATTTTTTCAATGAAGTATGGGATGATCCGAAGAGAACCCAAATGTTTACTTGAGCCAACACATGTTATAGTGTATTTGTGGCTTCCCATTTCCTAGTGAAAATTCATGAAGTATGAAAGGTAATCTGGTAGCTTATATGGCATAACACGTTTTGCAGCCTAAACCTGAAATCCATCCAGGAAAGCTTAGGTAGTCATTGCACTTAGACTAATACCTTAACCAATAAAGGTTGAAGCTAAGCTCCTTGCTTAAGCATATAGGATTTGAGTGAAAAAGAAAAAAAAAGAGAAATTACCGAAAAGTAAAAGAATTTTGGTGCTATCAAAGTATGAAGATCAAAAGATCAGAAATTCTGAAGAAATCCAAAAAGTTGAAGATACCAAAAATCAAACAAAGAAGGTGGTCAATTCAAACTAATCAAAGATCAAATATACAACAAAGTGAAGAATTCAAAGAGCTCCATTGTGGTATCAAAGTTGTAATTTCTAGAATTTATGTATGCTTGGTTGTTTAGCCAAAAATACCTTGAGGTCAAGAAAGATTTATGAGGATTGATTCGGAGGGTTGCAAAAATGAGTGTCGTATAAGCTAAGGGGTGAAGGTTCATAAGGATTGTGAGTATTTAGGAGTGGGGAGTTATTAGGAATTATAGACATAAATACATGCATTGAGGTTTTGGGATAATGGTTGGGTTTGAAATGGATTGTTTTGTATTTTGCTGGTGAAATTAAAAATCAATTTGCTTGGGGGCAAGCAAAGAATAAGTGTGGGGTATTTTGATATGTGCATATCTATACACATAATTATACAACATATCTTAATATTTTTAATTATTTTTATGCCCTTATTAGAACAAAAGATACTTAATTTGCTATGAAATATGTTGTAGGGACTAAAAGATATGCTTGGAGCAAAAAAGGAAGCTGGAAGCTGGATGCTGGAAGTTGGGAGTTTGAACCAAAGCATTAAAATGAAGAAAATATACCCCAACACGTCGTGGTGAATTCCCCACGGCGTGGCAACTTGAAGAATCCCGATCCACTTCGAAGACTTGTAGAACACGGGAGAAACACGATTACCACGGCGTGGTGGACTTACCACAACGTGGTGCTCTGATTTCGGGAAAAGTATAAATAGATCACCATAACCCCCCGAATTGGAAGTTTTGGCTCTGGAGAATTCGACACTTTTGAAGGATAAACACTGGTTCTAAGGCTTGGAAGCAAGAATTTCATTCACAAACCTTGGAAGAAGGAGCATTAAGGCAACTAAACTTTACACTTCAATTTTTCATTAGATTGTGCTCTGTCAAACACTATAAATTTTGTTTTTGTGATTCTGTTTGCTGAAATCATGAGCTAAATACTCATGACTTTCGTTTAGCCTAGGATGATTTGACTATTTGTGGTTTATTTCATGGATTGGATTTAGATATTTGGTTATTTGTTGATTTAGCTTATTAAAGAACCTCAAGTACTTTTGATAACTATTTTCTCTACTTATTGCTGAATTTGATTAAGTTAGTATGACCATCTTCCTTAGTTAAATTTGAATCTTATGATCTTGTAATTTGCAAAATTGTAGGACTAGAGTTTTGAATAAAACCTACGGTTAAGTAGAAAAGTGGGTAAAAAGGTATAGGAGCTAATATATGACGAAAAATCATGTATTAAATTGAATCAATAAACTAAATTGGTCAATTAATTATAAGTCTAATCAATTCAAACTGAACACTAGTGAACTTGTAAGTTTGTCCGCTTGATCACCGAATAAATAAGCTAGTTTGCTAAAGGATTAAATTAGTGAATACTAATTTGGTCATCTTAGGAATTGATAACTGAAGAAACGAAATCCATTGCACTTCCATAAATCAACCATAATAACAAATAAATCCAAAGCTAAACGAAAGTCTCTTACTTACCTTGGTTAGTTCATACTTGTTAATTTGCTTTAGTTAGTGTTAGCTTAATTAAGTGATAATTAGTTAGTTTGATAATTGAAGTATCTAGTCTTGCAAAACTAGGAAACCAAAACCTTTTCTAATTTAATTAGTATTTAGTTAATAGTAGAATAAAGTTAGTTAAAACACCGTTCCTTGAGTTCGACACTCGTTCTTACCATAGCTATACTATTGCATGATTCGGTACACTGCCTAGTGTGTTTAATAGTCTAGTGAAGGAAATAGCTTTTATAATTTTAAAACTTGAATAAAAATATAAACACATTAAATACACATGAATCGCTCGTAAATATTCGCAATAAATATTAGACTAAAATCTAGTGGTAATGATACTAGGTTTCGTCGAAGGTAAATAGAATCGTTAGAAGCGAAGCGCTGCCCGAGTTTGGAATCATCACTTTAACAAGTGAGTGCATAGTTACTTTCATATTAGACATAGATATGAAGTATTTAATATAAATTACGTGTTGCGTGTTCATATTATTTGTGTTCTTGATATCTATGCTGGATGAACAAAATATACATGTTTTATTCGATTTAAACTGTATACATATTTTATACCTATAATTATGATGGGTAAAGATGGGTAGATGAAAGATGAGATGAGAGATGAAATATGAAATGAGATGAGAGATGAAAGATGAGAGATGAAAGATGACATAGATGATGAGAAGCGTTGATCCAAGTGATGGCCCATTCATCTAGCAGAGTATAGATGACAGCCACAGACTATTCTAGACAGTCCAGTGGAACACTAGCAGGCTCGCAACCTGTAGGTGTTGTGAACGATATGTTCACCAGATGTACTCTAAAAACCCATTGACATGTATTGAGGGTGAACTCCCTAAAATAATACCGTCAATAAAAGAGATAAACCCTCGCAACTATGGACTTAGTGCTTGACAAATAACTTCGACAACTATGGACTTAGTGCTTGTTATATGAACATTGGCAATGATGGACTTTGTGCCTATTCCTTAGGAAAATCCTTAGGAACGAATGAGTAAATGATAGATGATTCTTAGGGTGGATCCTTAAGTAATAAAGAAGATAATGGGGATGGGTAATTGGGATATTTGTTTAATGATGAAACATAATAACTTTATTATTGTGGGTTGAAAACCCTATGTACTCACCAGGTTTCCCAACCTGACCCACTCAGTTTATTTGTATCACAGGTATCGATACGAAGCTACATTACACTGCGAGATTAAAGGAGATGTAAATCACTTGTGTAAATGAATTTAAGGTTTGTTTATGCTTACGTTTTTGTATTGACAATGACATCCCAAAATTTTAATATAAACAAAAATACATTTCTTCGGAAATGCTTTGATAATATATTTATCATTTTTCTGGGAACAAATTCCGCAATATTATTCTTTAAAATGAATACTCTAATTTTCAAATAAGCATAAATAAAATTTTTAAAATGACCATGAATTTGGGGATGTCACACTACTTCCTCATTTGCTGCTTCCAGAGTCATCTGGAATGCTCTCGTCGGTGGCCTAGGCAGCACATTAGGCTTTGCAACCTTCTTTTTTCGGGCAGTTCTTAGCAACATGCCCTTCTTCATTACATCCATAACACACCTTCTTGTTGGATGTACACTCATTAGTGTAATGACTAATTTTTCCGCACTTAAAACATGTCAACTCCTCGCCACATTTCCCAAAGTGCTTCTTCTTGCACTTCTCATACCATTTTGCTTCTCCTCCGCTTCCAAACTTTTTGGAACCAGATTTTGAAAATCCTATCTTCTTGTTGGACCTTGAAGATCCATCAAACTTCCTTTTCTCTCCTACCACTGTCCTTTCCAGACCATTTTCCCGAAGTTGGATCTCCACATTCTTGGTTGCTCTAACAATTGTCTTTAAAGTAGTTGTCATTTTTACCGTTGGACCAAAGTCCGCTGGCAATTCGTTAGCAAACCTCTCCATCTTGGAGAGTTCAGTAGGCACCAAATAGACGTTTGGTGGTTGTCGGGGCCAAAAACATAAATAACCCAAAATCTTGTACACTAAATTAGTGTATAATGGTAAAGGGATCGTATCCACATAGATTGGTTCAATATGTTACTTCTATAAAAATCTTGTTGTACAAACACTTGTAAACTAAAATAAAAATAAAATGAGATTTTTTTTTTATCTTTTGAACTATTTAAAAGAAAACTATAATTAAACTAAGATTTAAAGAGACAATTTAATAAAAGCAAGATTTTGATGTAAAATCAATAAGAGAAAGATGGTTGACTTAAGGTTTCCTCACTTGAACATTTGGTGAACATATCATTAGAATCCAATGGTGCAATACTTGTTTTAAATCTTTAATTTGGCTATAATAATCCACGAGGCTTGAGATTACCTAAACTTTTCTTAGTTGTTAAAATAGTTAGAGAAGCTCATAACAATTTCCTTAGTTAAAGTCACAATTTCCATTAAGCATGTAATTAGTGAAAATTAACTAGCATTAAAAACCAAAAAGTCACCAAATCCAAGAGGAGCCAAATTCTTTCACTTCCGTGTTGGAGAAAATGTTTTTGTGATTGTGTGAAGTGAAAACTAACAC